AATGGTGTTGAAGAGATCCACGACCTCAAGGGGTTTTTTGCTAAACGGACCGTACTGCTGTTTCCAGTTAAGGAGATCCGTTGTTGTGAAGGGCTGGTACTGCATTAATGACCTAATGATGGGCTGGCCCTGTGGGTCTTCTGCATGGTCTAACACCTCCCGTAAAGGGGCCAGAGTTTCTGTCTTCTTAAGGCTTGTCTGAGATCTAGTCCGGGAACTAACAGGTTTTTCTTCCTCCTGCTGTTCTCCGTCACTCTTAACTTCTCTTTTGACTTGTAAATTAGGTTTCCGAGGTGGAATGTTTCTCGGTGTTGCGGGCAGTGCTGGATAAAGGTTTTGCCTTGGGGCTGTAGGAAGGGGGGCATAGGGAGGGGGGCGATTTATCTCTTCCTCCTCTTCCTGACTAAAAATCTTAGTTTTAACCCCTTGTTTGGTGTTTTTATTCTGTTCTGTCATACACACACGCACACATTCCAACTGACACTTCCTAAGCCATTTGGGGTTTGCCATCTGAATGATCTGCCATTGATCTATGTATGGGAATTGTTCCCATCGCCCTTCCTGGGTAACGATCCTGTGTACCTTTGAAATTATTATGGAGTCTAGTGAGTCCCCTGTTGGCCATCTCACGCCTAAGGCTGTCCATTCATTAGTACAAAAATGTTTTAATTTGTCTGGATTGCACGGAGGACCTCCATATGATTCAGTAAAAGCGGATTGAAAGTGGGCTAGCATGCATTGTAATGGAGTCCGTAGGACGCCATTAGCCCCCCCCCCACCCATCCTAACACACTTCTGATGACCTGAGGCCCTGGAATTTCACAGCCACCTGCAGGAACTGCACCGGATTAACCACCCACACAGCCTAAAATCTAGAGGGTTGAAAAAAGCCTTTTTCCCCTCTCAGGAGAGTGATCAATCTCCTCATCTGTTCCAAAATGAACAGGACCTTTCTATTCCCCCGTTTAAATGATTACTTGCCTGGCAGGCGTCGTTTCCTCGGCTGTCCACGGAGTTACTGGGTCTTGTCTGCTCTCTTGTGGGTCCTTGGCTTAAGCTGCTTCGCCAGCGAGCATACAGCCGTCTCTCAACGAAGGATTCTGTAGACTTCAAAGGAGTCTTGTGCCGGCTGTCGAATCTTCGGTGTGAAAAAGTCGCTCTCGCTGGGGCAGTTCGCCTAGGAAGAAAAAAATCTCTGCTTCTCAAAGTCCCATCTGCCGGGTGCCAAAATTGTTGTGGAATAAGGAATTAAAGAAACATCCCTTTAGGACAGACAGAATCAGTTTATTTATTTATTGCAATAAAGGATCAGACTTGGTATCACTACCAAAGAAGTCTGACCGCTCTATGATTTTCAGCTCAAAGCATTTATACAGTTTCAAACAAAGGATTCTGTGAAGTCAGCAATTTCTTATTATCACAAGACATTTGTTACACAAAATGACATACCTTAATTACTGAGTTTGTTACTATATTTGCAAAACAGTTATAATTCTTCTTAGAAGTTACTGAAGCATAGATTCAAATTATCTTCTTGTTGAAACAATAATATGGACATCTCCGTTACTCTGACCTTCAAAGTGTAAATCACCAGACTGTCTTTATCTGTGACAACTGAGGGCCTTGGTGTACAAATCCTACTTGAAAGGAATGTGTTTGCCCGTGCTGGATACAATTGCAAGCATTTTCTCTTCTACAATATTAAGAATAAAGAGGGCCCTTCAGTGATCATCTAGCTGGACTCGCTTTTACTTTATTTATTACTTTATTTACCACTTTATTTGTTACTTTACCACAAACTCATTTATTAAATTTTACAGTTCTGAATATATTTTCATTTCTTTCTGTCTTTCTCCTTTTCTGCCCTATATTTCCCATTGTTTCTACTTTTCCTTTCCTTCCTATCTTTTCATTGTTAATCCCAATGTACTTATTTTGTGTTTTAAAATCATGAAATCTTTGCCCTTTATTTCCCATTGTTTTCCATCCCTTTTCCCTCTTTCTTATATTTCCACAGTAAATCCCAGTGTAATCATTTATATTTTTAATATTTTTTTCTCCTCCACCGTCTTTTCCTTCTTTTCCTTTTCTTTTTCCTTCTTCTTCCTTTCTTTTGTATTTTAGAATTCTGCACTCTCCTATTCTGCCCTATATGTCCCATTGTTTCTCCTTTCTCTTTCCTTTTTTGTGACTTTTTATTGTTAATCCCAGTATATTTATTTTGTATTTTAAAATCATAAAATATTTTATTTTGTCCTTTATTTCCTATTATTCTCCATCTCTTTTCCCTCTTTCTTATATTTCCACTGTAAATCCCAGTGTAATCATTTAAATTTTTCATATTTTTCTTATTCCACCCTCTTTTCCTTCTTTGTTTCTTTTCTTTTTGTCCATACTTAATATTACAATTGTTTAATTTTCCATAGTCAACCTCTTTGTCTTTGTCTTCTTCATTATCCATCTCTCTTTCTTGTTTCTCATTAGTCATTTCCTTTTCATCTTCAGTGCCTTCTAGCTCAGTCTTTACATCCTCAAATTTCGATTTTCCATGCAAATTAATAATAATTTCCTTTATTTCTAAACATATCGTCTTTATCAGTTTGTTAAGTTCCTGCTCCAATTTATTCTTTCCGGGTTGATATTATTCCAGTTTTAAGTCACATTAAGGTCCTTCTTTTTTAATCATCAAAGTCTATCCTCTTGTATGCAAAACATATCGTCTTTAGTTCTCGCCAGTTATCGTTTTAAAAGTTCAAGGTTTTATTTTTCCCCCCTTGCTTCTTTAAAGGTTTTCTTAAAACAAACAATTCCATGTTATGCTCCTCTTTCTCCTACAGATATCTCTCTATAATCCACCATTCCACTCAGCTAGTTAAAAAAATCACCATTTTATTTGTAATCCACATCCGTTTTTACCAAGTCAAAAAAGAGAAAAGGCCAGTTTTCCAGTTCTTCTTTCACCTTTATATACAATCAATCAGTTTGTAATCCAATCCAAATTCAATCCAAGTTCCAAATTTACATTTGCATTTATCAATCACTTTTAATTCTTTGGACGGGTTCTTCTATGGTGTGCTTGTCATTCCCACTTTCTCTTTCCATCCGCCATCTCCCCCCATTGCTATTTAGCCACTATTTCCACACCGGGGTAATCCCTTCAAATTATGGGTAGACTGCCAAACATCTGAAATCACATGACTCCAGGGGTATTGCAACAACCATAATTTAGAGTAAAGATCCCTTTGTTCAGCATCATCATAGTTTAGAACAGTCAATGAACACATGGCCAAGTCAAATACTTTTTCTCAGAATGGTTATATTCATGTTTATTGATTTTCAACTATTTCTTCTTTCTTTGTTGGGATGGGGGGAAGGTGAGCTAGAAAGGTATTTTTTTGATATAATGTTCAATTTAGAAAACCTTACAATATTTTAAAATATTGTGTTGAATTTAGGTAGTTAAAATTAAAACCTTGGTCAGATGAATTGTTGAAATAATAATATTATCTATAGATAATATATAGATAATATATAGATAATATTATCTATAGAAATCTATAGATTGTCAGCATTTGTTGCAGCACACACAATCAGACACAATTAAATGAACTTCAGTAGGATTCAAATTACATAAGAAACTTCTTCATATACAATACCATACAGCAGAATTCAGCATACAATATCAAGAACCCAGAAGCAATATTCATAGAAGCAAGTCATTCCAGAGTAGAGAGATACAGAGGCTAATATATTGAACAGAGGCTCGCATTACAGAGGTCAAACCAACTCTTATATACAGTTCAGCAAGTCTAAGCCATGCCCAGACTCCAAACTGTCTCTTATGGCCCCATACAAACAAATACTATGTTTCAGTTTCCAAACAGTCCCCATTGGCTGACTTGTTACCATGTCTATCCAAAAAGTCCCCATTGGCTGATCTATTCCAGTCTATGAATATTCATAATCTGACATAGATTTAAATTGGACTGTGAAGTTTAAAAAAGTCTCATAAGAAACCAATAACATCCCACTTCTGCACCACATGTCACAAATAATAATAATCTTTTTTCCAGATGCTTTCCCAAACTGACCAATTCCACATTTTCATTTGAAAATCATGCCTGCTCAGACAATCTGCATTTAATTAAATTAATAAATGTAATATTTATGAGTTAGAGCATTTATCCATTTGCACTTTATGATCATCCATATATACCATAGTGTAATGATTGCCTCTTCTTCCAACTTAAGCAACTAAAAACTCTTGAAATGTGGTTGTTCAAAAGGAACATTTTATTAAGCAGAAGTGATAACAACCCAGTTAAAGCAAGATCTGAATACCCTTAGGCAAGACAAGTAGGATTAAAACAGTAGAAACCCCTCCCTTTGAGTCAGAATGCAGATTTTAGCCAATACACAAATGTGAAGATGTTTTTCTTTACTAGTTTCCCTGAGAATCCGAACAAACATGCATTCACACTGTTATCCTTTAAAGTGAAACAATCCACATGGCTATCATAAACATTCCTCCCTATAAAGAGGATCTCAGGACTCTTTGGCACCAGGATATAGGTTGTAAAATATCTGTTGACACAGGCAATGCTAGTAAATCGAATCCAAGTCTCCCCCTTCTTCCAATTGAATGGCAGTATCACTTTTAGGGATCTGACACATAGTTTTGTGACAGTAGGCATCAAAGTATTTCTATTCCCTCCTTCCAATAGTTGAATTAATGAACGTATGGATGGATTTGATAGTCCAAGTAAGAACTAATCTGATCTGATTTTGAGGTATTAAGCATTTTGAGATTGTAGCCCTTTTGGTTTAATTAGAGAATTATTATTTGATACTATTTTTTAAAACGTTTTTAAAAATTCCTAGAAATATAGTGCACCTGTGAAGCTTGTGCTAGTAATAACATTGAACAACCACCAAATAGTGTGAATGAAATGAATTCTTTAGTAACTATTTTGAATGAACAACTGTGCTTTCTTTTATAGATGAAAGAGAAGATGTTCAAAAGAAAACATTCACAAAATGGATAAATGCACAGTTTTCTAAGGTAAGAAAAATATTTATTTTACATTAAAAATAAAATATAACTCAAGAAGAAATCATATTGTATAGTTATTATTTAAGGAGAACATTAACCAGAATGCTTTCAATCAGTACAGATAGTCCTCGACTTACAACAGTTCATTTAATGACAGTTCAAAGTTACAACAGTGACTTATACCCATTTTTCACTCTTATGACTATTGCAGCATCCCCATGGGCATGTGATTTACATTCAGATGCTTGACAAGTGACTCACATTTATGATGTTTGCAGTTTCTTGGGATCATATGATTCCCTTTTGCAAACTTTTGACAAGCAAAGTCAATGGGAAAACCAGATTCATTTAACAACCTTGCTACTAATTTAAGAACTGCAGAGATTCACTTAACAAATGTGACACAAAAGGTTGTAAAATGAGGCAAAGCTCACTTAACAAATTTCTCACTTAGCAACATAAATTTTGGGCTCAATTGTGGTCATAAGTTGAGGACAACCTGTATAGCTTTAGTTTGTGTTAGCTTTGCTGGTTAGTTTCCTCTCTTGAATAATTTTGTAAAAAATGAATGCAAAACCAAATGAATACAAAGTAACAAAAGTGTAATACGTGAAAAGTTTCTGAATAAGTCCACATTTTCCAAATGATCATTTCTTTTATAATATAACATTTTTTGGGGGCCAATGCAATACTACGTATTCATTAGGGATACTATTTATGAATCAGATTAGGTTTTTTTAAAAAAAAATTGAGTTTTTGTAGCTCAGTAGAGAGTCTATATGTATTCACTTTGGAAATAGTGGAAATGTAGCTTTTCCAGAAATTTTTAAGCGTTAAAATCCATAGGTCAATTATAATATGTTTATTAATTTTATTAATTAATATTTTTCAGAGAAAATATTTCTATGCTTAGGAATATTGAAAGGCCATGCGTCAAATGATTAAGAAAATGCTTAGAAGAAAACAAACATTTAATTTATATAATAAATTATAGATATAAGAAATTGTCTATAAATTAATCTTGTTTGCAGGACTGAGTCTGGGGTGACTCACTGCTATGGTTTCGGAAATGGTTCTGGTAAAATCAGTATAAAATGGTGTGTTTTAATTGAAAGTGTTTTTTGGGAATGTTGGGTCTGATTACAAGCTAGTTCTTTTAAGGAACAGTCTTTCAGGTTACTTCTCAGATATGGATATTGTCCTCTCTGATTCTGAGAACAAACCTCCTTCCCCAGTATTAGAAACAAGCATAGTAATAAAATGTGAATAAAGAGGGTCCTTCAGTGTTCATATAGCTGACTGTACTATTCCTACACCATTCACATTATTCCCCCCTTTGGAAGTTTTTCAATACAGAAACTTCCACTACTCCCTACATGTTCAATTCTCTAGTAGATAACATTCTATTTCTTCTTAATAAACAAAGCAAACATATAATATCTAGCAAAATATGACTAATCCAGGCAAGGGATAGGTATTTCTTGATCTTCACTCCCTTAATCCTTGGAGGTACTCTCTTCATTCTTTCCCAGGTTCAATTTCTACATATGTGTCTGCATCAGAGTCTTTATTTTCATCAAAGGAATTGGAGCTGACCTGATGATCAAGGAGGTGCTCCATCAAAACTAACTCCTTCTCAGTCTGTATCTCTTTCACGGCTCTTATAGATAACTGTTTGAGCACAGGGATTGCACAAGGAATAAAGGCTAGGCCTGCCACAGCACATATCAACAAGAATAACATTTGTTTAATCCAGCCGGATCCAGGCAACCAAGAAAACCACATGTCAGTTGTCTGTAACCTCTGACTTACCTTGGAAGCCCTGTCCTGTAAATCCTTGGCAACTTCCCTGACCATGCCTGATTTATTCATATAGAAACAACAGTCTTCTTTCAGGAATACACACAAACCATCTTTCTCTGCTGTTAGGAGGTCTATGGCACATCGATTTTGTAGGACCACTGCTGCCAAAGAATCTATCTGGTCTTGGACTTTTACCAAAGTCCCAGCAATTTGGTTCAGGCTCTCTTGAAGCTCTTCTGACAATTGCCAAAACTGTATTATGGAGTGTGTCATTCCACCTATACCTGTTCCAACTGCAGTTCCTATTCCCATGATTACTAATAGTGGGAATAGGACTGGCACCCGTTTCTGAACGTGTCCCATGAGAGGAACAGGGATAGTATGTTCTCCACTGACAACACCTGTTTTAGGAAAAAGGTGTACTAATGTGCATGTCCCTGTCCAGTTTGTTGGTAAACACAAATACGCATCCTTTCCACACAAGAAGAAAACTCCATTTTCCCCTAGACATACACCTATATTTATGGAAAAGGCATGAGCTCAGTGGTTCTTTTCATTAATCCAGGCCCCCAAAGTCCCTGCCACCAGTCAGCAGCTGTAATGGGACTTCTAGTGAAGGGTCCTTCTGCTTATCTCTGAGAGTTGGGCCTTCAAGAAGATAATGGGAGGTTACATTTCCAGGGGGAAAGAGAGCACATAAACCTGATTTGGACTTTAAGGTGAACCAGAATGGAAATCGTGTTGGCTGAAATGGCCTCGGACATTTTTCTAAAGATATATTCCATCCTCCCCACCTTCCCTTTTTAATGGTCATATTTGGTGGTATTGAGAAAGTGACCTTTTGTTGAAATAAGTGGTGGGCAGAAGGAGAAATACCTCTGGTTAATTTTACATCCATAAGATTCATTCTAGGGCCAAAGTATATTTCTGATGGACATTGTTCTTCTGTCAGGGACCCTACAGGAATACCAGATGTTTGATGTCTCTTTATGCACAGAGAGGGTGTTCCTATGATTTCTACACCAGTGGCTATAGGGCCGGCTATTGGAAGGCGGCTTATTCCCAGTCTTTTGAATGCATCATAAAAATCTCCTTGCAACTTTGATGTTGCTGCTTTGTTTCTAATATCCTTTTTAAGGACTAGGGTAGCTTTTGTCCTTTCCCAGAGATCTTGCTCAACTGGGACAGCATGATAAGATGAAGGACTAGCAGACAAACACAACCAGCAGTTTTGACCCAAGGCAGAATCAGATTGATTAATGAGGCTTTGACCTAATTCCAGTATCCTTGACATGTAATTACCTTTTTTCAATTGTTGCAGGGGTCCGTTCTCTCTTTGTTCTTGTATTCCCCCCTTTACCGGGATTGTCAATTGTTTGACCTTAGGTCTTGGAGTTGGCTCAGGTCTAAGGTAACGACCCCACCTACTGACGATACGTCATTGGCGGGAGCGGACTTGACCTAAAGTGTCTCTATATAGTGACCTGATGCTGGTCGGTTCCTTGGGGTTCTCAATATTTCTGGATCCTTCCTCATGGACAAGGGGGATTTCTTGGGCATTCTTACAATAGTGGGAACTATTGTTCAAGATATTGTCACTTAATAGATCCTCTGTTAAAAACATCCAAAGCCATAAAAAAAAAACATAATAACTTCCTTTCAACACACACAGGGCCTTAATATCACAACACCCTTAGTTTACAAACTCACCACATCAGGAAGAGGGTTAGGGGTATGTGTAACTTGGGAAAGATCAGTATCAACCTCAGTCCTAGGCTTCCCACAGAACCGGTCCTTATAGATATAATACAATACCAATAGTAGGGCTAGGATAGCAGCTGCCCAGAGTCCCCACACCCAATCTTCCTCAAGCATTAGTATCTTTAAGAATTTCTTACTAGTTTCTATCACAGTTAATGGGTTTTACATTACAATTTACAGTCATGGAATGTTGTCTTCCTTCATTCCGAGCTTCGGCCGTGTGCTGGGAACCAGCTTCCAGGGTGGTTCAGCAAGGCTGACGATCACCACCGTGCGTTGAGAGTCCGTTGCCGGTAGGACTCAGCAGGGTGTATTCTTCTTGAACTTCAGCACCAATGGCTTGTCAGTTTTTGTCACCTGGTATGTGACCGGATCACTCTGGTCTGCGGGTTTCAGTCTCGTCCACTGGACCCAAGATCTTCCTTCTAAGGTCTTAACTGCAAGAGGTGAACACATCACAACAGTATATGGTCCTTTCCATCTAGGTTTTAAGGGCTCATTTTTCCAATGTTTTATCCATACTACATACACCTGGCTTGTAGTTGTGACCTGCAGTCATAATAGGGGGAGGTCTATATTCTTGCATATATTGCCTCAGTTGATTGACATGATTGTTGTGCTGTTGTAGCTGTAAAAGTAATTTCCTTGCTTCCATTCCCCCCTTTTGAACTAGGTCTGGCCAGCCTTGAAAGTGGTGCTTAAACAAGGCAGGGGGCCTACCATACAGGAGTTCAAAAGGAGACAGCTGGTATTTAGTTCGTGGGGCTGTTCTAAAAATGTACAAGGCCATGGGGAAAACTTGAAGCCATGGCAAGTGGGTTTCTAAGCACAGTTTGGTAATAATTGCTTTCAATGATCTATTAGTCCTTTCAATTTTTATTGCAGATTGTGGCCAAAAAGCACAATGATATCTCCATTTCAGGCCTGCTGCTTCAGTTAAGTGGCGATTTTATACGTTGCACAAATTCTGGGCCATTGTCAGAACTGATGGTAGATGGACATCCAAATCTAGGGATTATTTCCTTTAAAAGAAAGTGTGCTACTTGTATAGCTAACTTATTTTGAGTAGGGTAGGCCTTGATCCATCCAGAGTAAGTGTCAATGAAAATGAGCAGGGCTTTATAACCATTGCATTTGGGTATGTTAGTAAAGTCCACAACTAAGTAGTCCATGGGCAAGTAGGAGATGGGCTGCTGTCCTGGTGGTAAACACGGTCCTTGCTTAGCATTTACTTGAGCGCACGTAGGACATTGGGAAGTTACTTTGGCAACCGGGCTCTGCAAGTTAGGTATGTAGAATGTTGCTTGCAACTGTTGGGCCAAAGCAGTCTTGCCAATATGTGAGGTTTGGTGTGCCTCTGATACTAAAGGCCAGGCAAGTGAAACTGGTACCACTAGGTGATTGTCTGGAAGGGTATACCATCCCTTCACAAGAGTGGCTTTCAG